TCCTGAGTAGCTGGGACTACAGGCACCCGCCACCTCGCCTGGCTAGTTTTTTGTATTTTTTTAGTAGAGACGGGATTTCACCGTGTTAGCCAGGATGGTCTCCATCTCCTGACCTCATGATCCGCCCGTCTCGGCCTCCCAAAGTGCTGGGATTACAGGCTTGAGCCACCACGCCTGGCGCTAGAAGGCTTTTCTGGACACCCTAGATTTTCAACACACCTGCCACACACACCACGCACCACACATACACCCACCACATTTTCCATTCTCTTTCCTGCTTTATTTTTTTCTCCGTAGCAGTCATCACTATCTAACATACTCGATGCTTTACTTATCTCATCTGTTTGTTGTCTTAACTCCCCTATCGAGATGTAAGCTCCATGAAGTCAATTTGTTCATAGCTATATCCCCAGAACATAGAACAGGGCCTGGAACATAGTCAGTGCTCAATAAGGACCTCTGAATGAATGAATGAATGAATGAATGAATGAGAACACTGAGGCTCAGGGAGGTCAAACACCTTGCTCATGGTCACACAGCCAGTAAGGACAGGGCTCGGTCCGGATGCCGGGTGTGTCTGCAGGAGCCCTCTCTTCCAGCAGGTGTCCCCTCAGCACGCTAGAATGCAGGGTGTGTTCTAGGAGGAAGCATTTCTACACTTTCTTTGCCTCATTTTGGTTCTAGTTTGACCAGAAAGAGCAGAAGAGCTTCCTGGGGCCTCGGAAGGATTACTGGGACTTTCTCTGCACTGCCCTACGACGGCAGCGGGTGGACATGGAGCCAATCCACTTTGTCCGTTCCCAGGACAAGGTATCCAGGGCCAGGCAGCGAGAAAGCTGACAGGGTGGGGGTGGACATAGGCCTGCTCCTTCTCCCATATCCTGCTCTACTGACCATAGACCGCTCACTTGCTCCGCATGTCTCCTAAACCCTGCCCGCAGCACCCCTCCAGACACCCTTTTCCTCCCATGGCCTCAGGTCCCCCCACACCCTTCCCATTGCCCAGCACTTCCAGTCCTCTCCCTCTGTGTTTCCTGGGCACCCTCTGTCCTAATACCACCCCCCCTTCTGCCCCTGTGCACTCTGCAGTTGAAGACCCCTCTGGGGAAAGGCCGTGCCTTCATCCGCTTCTGCCTGGCCCGTGGGCAGCTGGCTGAGGCCCTGCAGCTCTGCCTCCTAAACCCAGAGCTCACCAGGTGGGGCTGCTGGGACATCCTCCTGCCAATGCCATCTGAGCCACTTTCCCTCCTTTGTAAAAGAGCCCTCCTTCACCCCCCATGGATGGCTTTCTATCAAGGACCGTTACGATAAGAGTCATGAAGGAAAAATTAAGGGAGAAAAGGCAGAGGGACGTTGGAACCCAGGAGTCCTGGCAGCATCAGGGTTCTTGGGCCTCCTGCTCCTGAAGGGCCACGACTCTGCCTGGGGACCAGCCTCATGACGGTGTTGAGGTTGAGCTGGGGTGGGGGTGGTTGGGGTCGAGGGAAATAGCTCCAGGGTCAAAGGCCAAAGGTTCTGATCACTGTTAACACAGGGAATGGTATGGACCCCGGAGCCCTCTGCTCTGCCCAGAACGCCAAGAAGACATCCTGGACTCTCTCTATGCTCTCAATGGGGTGGCCTTCGAATTGGACCTCCAGCAGCCAGACCTGGATGGAGCCTGGCCCATGTTCTCAGAGTGAGTGGGTGCGGCCAGGAGGGAAGTTTCTTTTGACACCTGATCCCATGGCCACCAAGGGTCCCAGGCGAGCCCCAAGCCCTCGGCCCCCAGCCCCGTCTGTCTCTGCCTCCTTTTGCTCCATGACTTTGGATCCTTCTAGACTTCGATGTTCCCAGTGCAAATTCATGGCATAATGCAGCCTAGAATACGCACTCACTAACGACTTCCTGGGTGGTTGAGGTGGCAGGCTGGAGGATGAATGGATAGCAGGATGCTGGGAGGGAAATGAATGCAGGATGGGATGCATGAGGGTGGGTGGGCAGGAAGGAGGAAGTGTCATGGGATGAATGGGCGAGTGGAAAGATGGGATACCCTCCATCTGAGGGCCAAGCCCACCACCGAAGAGAAGCCCAGGGTCCCCCTGCCTCTTTTACTTTCAGGTCACGCTGCTCCAGTTCCACCCAAACCCAGGGAAGGAGACCCAGAAAAACCAAAGATGCCCCAAAGAAGGTGCCTCTGCCTCTGCCCCGCCTTCACTCTGAGTTGCCTCTTCCCCATCTCCTTGGCGTCCCCAGTTTGAGTAGTAACTGAGCTTCCCCCTCTGAGTGTACAGAGAGCCCTGACCCAACTGGACAGACAGAGCAAGAGGCCAGTGTGTGGAGCAGGGACCTGGGGAGCTGCAGAGGAGGAGAGGGCTCCTATTCCTGGGGTGGGGACACTGGGAGAGAAAGGGAACTCTAGCACCCTCTGCCGGAGCCACTGGGCCCAGAGGAGGAGAAAGTTCCAAGGGGGGCAGGCCACTGAAAGCTTCAGGAAACAGATGAGAGAGATGCCCTCTGCTGAGTCCCTTGCACTGGACAATAGACAAACAACTCAGTTCAGTTCAAGAAGCGACTAAAGACCCAGGTTGCCTGGTCGAATTCCAGCCCCACCCCTTACAAACTATGGTTCTTGAACAAGTTACTTGTCCTGCCCCATAGGGATATTGTGAGGATGAACTGAGGCAACTCACATCCAGCACTGCACAGGGCTCCTGGCTACACGCTCCCCTCATGGCACCGTGTGATCACCTTCATTGTTGTTATCATCATCTCACAAGCACATTTTGCACCCCCACCAGCTTCCAGGCACTGGGTACAGATACTATTAGTTCTCTGGTCTGAAAAGTTCAAGGTATCTTCATGGAGATAGATCATAAAGAAAAGCATTGCAATATATGAGTTCAGTGTAAGTGACACAGAAATGAACAGAGGAACATGGGAGCACAGAGAAGGCTTCCTGAGAAGTTGCTCTTAGCTGAGTGTTGGTCTAGTCAAGATTTCATCACAACCCTAAAACCGGATATTATCATTCCCATTTTGCAGATGAAAAAACTGAAACACGAAGTGTAGTTCAGGAGGAAGAAATTAAAGGAAAGGGGTGGGTGGAACTTAGGGGGAGCCAGATCAATACCCAAGACCCAGGTGCAGGAAGGAGAAGGATGCGGACAGGAGAAAGGGAGAGAAGGACATCAGGATGTACTGCTGTCCCTCACCAGACCAAAGCATGGCGCTCAAATCACCTGGGTGTTGCTAAAAGTCAGATTTGGGGTTTGATAAATCAAAGTTTCCAGTGAGAGGACCTGGTACTTATCTATTTAGCAAGCCCATTAGATCAGCGCTGTGGCCTCTCCCACGCACCAGGTCAGTGAATTGGTGCTGAGAGGGATGACTGGTTTGGGGTCCTCTCCGCAGATCCCAGCTGCATATGGAAGGCCCGAAAATGTCCAGATTGAGGACTCACACACCAATCAAGCTGTCTGTCTGCAAGATGCACCCAGTGGACAGCAGCTGGGAGGCCTGCCCAGGTCCCAGCAGCAAAGGCATCTTCCTTTCTTTTTGGAAAAGAAGGGGGGAAATTCCAGGAGACATAGGTACCCCCAGAGTATGTGGGAACCAGAAGAAGAGGAGCTTCAACTAGACCAGGAGGAAGGAACCCCATGGATTGAGATGTTCCTGGGGAACTCAACACCCAGCACCCAGGGACAGGGGAAGGGGGCTATGGGCACTCAGAAGGAGGTGATTGGGATGGAGGCTGAGGGCACAGGGGTTCTGCTGGGTGCAGAGGGTCAGAGAACAACAGAGGAGACTCATGAAAAGGAACCAGAGTGGAGTCATGTCCAGAGGCTGCTGATGCCCGGCCCCAGAGGGACCATAGCGGGAACAGTATCGGGGAGCAGGCAGGGATCGGGGGACTCTAGCATCCTGGGGGAGCCCTGGGTCCTTCAGGGACTCACAACAAAGGAAGACTCTACCATGGAGAATCCACATGTGCAAACAGAAGTTACCCTTGTGGCCAGAAGGGAGGAGCAAGCCGAGGTGTCCCTGCAGGACGAGATCAAGGTGAGAACAGTTGAGCTCCATACCTGGTTATTCTCCCCTCTCTGACCTGGCCCACAGATGAGGGTCTGAAATGGTAGCCTGGGACCATTCCCTCCCATGGATCAATTTTTATTGGCCCACTCAGGATTATTATTTGGGAATGCCTTTGAAAGCCATACATTCTTCAGGTCACCACAGTCCCCACATCTCCCTATTGCCTCACGCTAAACCCACTTTATTTGGCAATACTTCTTGCCCAGCCCCAGTAGCATTGGAGTTTGAGATCCCTTCCCAACAGTTCTTCCAGGCAGTCACTTCCTCTCCAGTTCCATATCCTCATGATGGTAGGTCTCGTCCCCAAATCTAAGTTCTACTGTTGCAGAGCCCACCTAGTTGCTCCTGTGGTAGATGCTTCTCCTAGAGGTCACTCAAGATTGTCATCAAGCCTTCCTTCAGCTTCCACCCAGGAACTTGCAAGTTTCTGAGTTTACAACTTCCACCCTTCAGTGAAGGAAGAAACAGTGGCCCAGCCTCACCCAGAAGCAAGGCCTAGGACAGAGTCAGGCATCACAGCTCCCAGCACTGTCCCCAGCCCTGCCAGGGCATGGCCTGGGATCTCTTGGGAATGTTGTTCAGGTCAGCCCCAGTGTTGGGGTCTCTGTCCTTCTCCTTCAGCCTCCTCCTCCCCTCCTTCCAATCCCCAGAGCCTCAGACTTGGGCTCCGGAAGGCCGAGGAGCAGGCCCAGCACCAGGAGCAGCTGCTGAGGAAGCAGGAGGGGGAGTTGCAGGCACTTCGGGAGCAGCTCAGCAGGTAACCTTGGCAACCCACAGCACAGGGCACCGGGAGGTGCTCCCTGAGTCCTGCTGTCAGTCACGGTCAAGTCAGTGAGGTCTTGTGAGAACCTCCCGTGCACCACATCCTGGGCTGGGCACACCTTTGGGATCTGAGGCCTGCAGGGCATTGCTCCTGATCCCAGGGCTCCACCCTCCCTCCCCTGTGCATCCCTTTCTCATAGGCCTCCCAGAGCAGCCCCAGGAGAGGCCCCACCTCCTGGCCTGCTTCCCTCCCACCCTCACCCCTGCCTCCCTCTGCTGCCTCCCCTGGGCAGCTCCTCTCTCTTTTCTACCCTCTGCCTCCCTACTCCACTGGGCTTCTTTCCCCCATCTCTTTCTGTCTCCCTCTTTTACTGGGTTTCTTTGTGTCTCATTTGCTTCTTCCTGTTACGCCACCTCTCCCCCTCTCATAATCATAGCTATCATTTACTGAGCATTTACTATGTCCTGGGCCCTGCTGTAGGTGTTTCTGCGTAACACCCTTATGAGATGAGTTCTATAGAACCCCCATTTTATAGAGGAGGAAGCTGAAGCTCAAAGATGCTGCACAATTCACCCACCATTGGCTAGTTAGCAGGGGAGCTGAGATTCAAAGCCTGCGGCTGACTCCAGAATCAGTGGGCTCAGACGCCTGGCTCAGGCAGCATGTCAGGTGCCTGCACTTCAGTCTCTCCGTTTCTCTTGCTCAGTGTCTCTCACCATCCAGTGTCTTCATCTTCCGTCATCACATTGACCTCAGGGGCCCACAGCACGCTGTCTGTCTCTACCATGCCCCTCAGTCCTCAGTCTCTCGGGTCTCAGTTTCTCTCTCTCTCTCTTTTTGTAGAGACAAGATCTTACTACATGGCGCAGACCGGCCTCAGATTCCTAGGCTCAAGCTTCAGCCTTCCAAAGTGCTAGGGTTATAGGCATGAGCCAGCACACCCAGCCCATAATTTATTTTTTAAGGTCTCTTCTCCCTGCAGAGATCTTCCGTGGCCTGAATCAGCCTCTCTGTGTCTCTCTCCTGAGGTCTCTGGGTGCCTCGGTCTGCCCACCTGCCCCTGTCTCTCCCTCCCACATGGCTAACACCTGCCCCAGGTCCAACAGACACCAGTCAGACTCCAGCAGGGCCTGAGTAGCTGTGATTCAGCCTGAATCACTGGGAAGCCTGCTGACTCTCTGCTTCGCAGGGGAGAGAGGCCCAGGAGCCCAGAAATCAACCCAAAAGGGCCCCTCGGGCTCCTCCCACTCCACACTCAGCTGAGCCCACAGTGTGGTCAGCAAAGGTTTCCATGATTCAGGGCCCAAATGACCATGGGGGTTCTGCCCACACGAGAGTCTTCAAGGGATCAAGACAAGCTAGGAGGAGCAGCTGGGAGGTTGTAGAGATACGGCCTGGCCCTAGCTGCTCCCTTTGCTGGGGGCCCTGTCTCACAGACCACAGTGCTCCGGCCACCTGTCACTCATCATTCAGTCATTCCACAAACACTCTGTGCACCCACTCTGAGCCAGGCCTGTCCTAGGTACGGGAAATCCTCTCACAGACAAAACAGGCCAAACACCTGCCTTCGTGGAGCTCGCATTCTAGTGGGTGAAGCAATAAATGTGATTAGCAAGTGAAGTACCTAGGATGTCAGATTGGAATAAGTTATAAGAAGAAGACATAAAGCAGACAAGAGGAACGGGACGTGTTGGTGTGGTATTTTACATTTTAATAAGGTAACATGGCCAGGGAAGACCTCCCTGAAAAGGTGACATTGATCTAAAGACCTGAAGGAAGTGAGGATCGAGCCCTTTGACTATTCGGTAGAATGTTCCAGGCTGCGGGGACAGCAAAAACAAAGGCCCTGATGGGGGACGGGCAGGGCAGCTTCTAGGAACATCAAGGAGGCCTTCCGGGCCCCAGTAGAGTGAAGGAGGGAGAGGATGTGGGAAAAGGTCAGGTGAGCCAAGGAGGCAGGTTAGAGAGAGCCTGCGAGGTCATCGGAAGGGCCTTGACTTTGACTCAGAGGAAGATTGGAGCCACTGAGGGGTCAGAGCAGGAGAGGGACTTGACTTTTTTTAATGTCAAAAAGATGTTTATATGCTTTTTCAAATGCTTAATAATTAAATGGTTTTTAGTATATTCAAGAGTTATGCATCCACCACCTCAATCAATTTCAGAACATTTCCATCTCCCCAAAGAGAAACCCTGTACCCATTAGCAGCCACTCCTCATTCCTTTCCCGGCTCTAGGCAACGCCAGTCCACTTCCTCTATAGATCAGCCTGTTAGAGGCTGACATGTTTTTTGTTGGTGGTGGTTTTGTGGTTTTGTTTTTGTTTTTGTTTCTGAGACAGAGTTTCGCTCTTGCTGCCTAGGCTGGAGTGCAGGGATGCCATCTCAGCTCACCACAACCTCTGCCTCCTGGGTTCAAGTGATTCTCCTGCCTCAACCTCCTGAGTAGCTGGGATTACAGACGCCCGCAACCATAGCCAGCTAATTTTTTTGTATTTTTAGTAGAGATGGGGTTTCGTCATGTTGGCCAGGCTGGACTCAAACTCCTGACTTCAGGTGATCCACCCACCTTGGCCTCCCAAAGTGTAGAGATTACAGGCATGAGCCATGGTGGCCGGCTTCATGTGTGTTTTAAAGGCCCCTTGGAGTTGGCCTGTTAGCAGGCAAGCTGAACACAGAGAGTCCAGTGAGGACCCTACCGCGCAAGGGAGAGTGGGGGTGCTCAGACTGGGCTGGCAGCATGGAGCAAGGAGAAGCTGCTGGGCTTTGGATGAAGTGTGAAGTAGAACTTCCTGAGGAATTGGATATGCGGTCTGAAAGAAAGACAGAAGTTGAGAATGACTCTGAGCTTTTCGACCTGATCAGCTGGAAAGCTAGAGTCACTGTTAACTGAAGTGTGCGGGCTGTGGGGGGGCAGGTTTGTGGGGAAAGTCAGAGCTCGGTTTTGAACATGTTATGTTTGAGACACCTGTTAGACATGTTAGACAAGGACCGCTGGACAAGCAGCTGAGTGTGGAACTCAGGAGGGAAGTGTGGGCTGGGAGATCGATCCTGGAGTCCTCAGAGTAAGGATGGTGAGTAAAGCTGATCCTGAGGCTCAGAAGAGGATGTGCTACCGTGATGCCTGGGACCCAGGGAGCTAAGGACAAAGCTCACTCCCAAGAAAGGAGCCCATGGGCATCAAGCTGGCGATGAGTTCCTCAACACAGAGAATAGAAGTGCTGAGGGACCCATTCATTCCATGGACATTTATTATGCTTCCACAGTGGCCATGAGCAGGTGTGGTGAACAAACCTGGCCCAGCCTGCTCTAGAAGACCTGGGACAGATAAACAGATAGCAATCCAATGGCAGGCAGGTAAACAGATCCAATGGCCATTGGATAGATGCTAGGGAAACAAAGGCAGGGAAGGGCGCAGACAAAGACAGGATAGTCATTCAGACTGGGGGCCAGGAAGTCCTCCCTGAGGTGACGTTTGAGCAGAAGCCCCAACCACATGAGAGACTGGACTGTTCAAATATTAGTGAGAAGTGCTGTGGCCAGAGGAATGGCCAGAAGACATGCGTTTGTGGACAGGCAGGCCAAATGCATACGGGGTATGGCTGAGCAGAGGAGAGAGGGGCAGAGCCGGAGGCAGGGGCCTCAAAGGCAGAGTGAGGTGCTGGAATTCTTCTTTGTGCTACCAGAGGCTGGGGCAGGGTTTAGAGCAGGGACGTTTCTCCGTCTGACTTCTGTATTTAAAGGCTCACTCAGGCTGTGGTATGGAGGACAGTGGAAGGGTGGTAGAAGTCCCACGCAGAGCACAGACTGGGGGCAGAGGTGAGCCACAGCCGACCTGAAGGCGGCAGGCCCAGGGCAGGCCCTTGGGGCTGTGAAAATGGACTTTGGGCTGAGACATGGAGCTTCCAACACCCACCTCACAGCTTTCTGGCTGTGGGCCCCTGGGGACAGTGGCCTGCCCTCTCTGGGTCTCAGGTCCCTGATTTGCAAAACGAGACGGTGGGATGGCTAGGGTTCCTCCTCCCAGCTCAGATGCTCGTGACGCAATCTTTCCAAGCAGGTGGGTGTCCTCTGCGCTGGGAGTAAGACCTCGAGCAAAAGAAATTAGGACAAGCATCAGCTGAAGAGGTCCTCAGGATGGGGAACTAGGCAGATGTCACATGTCCCCCCAACCCCTGCACAGCAGCACTGAGCTCCTTTGAGGCCTGCCAGACTCCATCAGCATCCTTCCCTCCCTCCCTCCCACCTGCTGCCCACTTGGCACCGGTGCCAGGAATCACTGGTGATCAGGGCTTTACCTGGATGAAGGTGTAGGGAGGCAAAAGAGTTTTGATCTGGGCTGGTCTGTGTCCAGATTTCTGCTCCCTCCACTCATCAAGCTGTGTGACCCTGGGCAAGTGTCACCCCCTCTCTGAGGTTCTACTCTTCTCTCTTGTAAAATGAGGATTATATTATCTGTCTCTTAAAATTGTGAAAACTAAATGAATGGGGCCATAAAACACTAAGCTTGGGCCTGGCATATAGTAAGTGCTCAGTAAACTAATTCCCCTTCCATGTCCCCTCATGTGCTAGAAGTATCCATCACTCCCTGATTAAAATACTTCAGGGCTCCCCATTTCACTGAGATTAACATCCACTTTTCCTGGGCCACTGGCAGACAGCTCAGGTCCTGCCCACCTCCCCACTCCTCTCCTGCCTTCCCAGCCCCCCACTGCCCTTTGTGGCAGCCTAGAATCATTCGTCTTTCAGTTCCTCAAACAAGCTCAGCTCTTTCCAACTTGCAGACCTTTGCATGTGCCCACGCCTGGCTCTACATTGCTGATTTTTCATCTTCTAGTTCAGCTTCCATTTCACCTTGTCTGAGGAGCCTCTCCAAGAGCCCTCCGTGGTCTCTGTCTTAGCCTCTCCTTTGTCTCTGTCGTAGCACTTAGTTTAGTTATTTTACGAGTCTATCATTTATTTTACCCCTGCCGCAAACACTGTAAGATCCATAGGCTCTGCTTTATTCCTGGCACCTAAACATCCCCTGGCACACAGTAGGTGCTAAGTAAGTGTTCTCTCCCACCCAAGAGACACATGCACACACCACGGTGATCACATTAAGGGCCCAGAATCACAGGGCAAGTAAACTGGCTCAGGAAAATTAAAGTCAGCAGCTAAGAAATGAGATGCCAAAAGACTAGAATGTTCATTAAAATTAAAAACATGGCCCTGCTCCGTGCCTGAGCACCAGAACGCTCTTGGGGTTGCAGTGACTGAACTCTGGAATGTCAGTGGCTGGGCTGCTAACAGTTTGATGTCATGGCCCACCCAACTTTCTTCCCTGCAACATGCTAAAAGGGGGTGTTTTAAAATTGCATGTTCAATTCATTGTCAAGCCTCTTGCAAGCCTCTTCCACTCAAACACGCTCAAGCCCCAGGACACACACCGGCACAGACACGTACATGCATCCTGAGCACCGGGACTCTCACCCATGCCATCTGCCATTGCAACGCCCTCCCAGCTGAGCCAGGGGCCTCCCAACTGAGCCAGAGGCTGGGCCCTGGGACCAGGTCTTTTTTATTTCCAGTCCAGTGGTCTTCTTGGAACTTTTCAGAAAACCACTACAGACAAAAAGAAAAACCAAGAGTGGAACTGAGACGCTACCAAGCCCAAAACTAAAACAAATTTAGGAAAGCCATATTTTTACTATTTCTTTTTAATTGAAAAGACAATGTAACATAACTTTTTAAAAAATATTTTAAAGCAAAAAATCGCTCTAAATCCTTCACTGTTCCCCTTCCACACACAATTATTTCCAGCTGGGCACCGACCATCCAGCCTGGGTTCCCAGGTATCTGCCTTCCCTCCAGAGAGCAGCCATGATAGTGAACACACCTTTCAAGAAAGTTACATTTTAAATGGAAATGTTTGAAAACAAAGCCGGGAGGAGGAAATGTTGGCTCATCCCCTCCCTCTAAAGGAACACTCAGGGCAGGGCCCTGTTTTCATTTCTCTAAATAGTTGGTGAGGAGTCAGTTCGTAGGTGTCAGGCAACACACAGTGTGCAGTTCAGTGTGTGGTGTGTGCATTGTATGTATGTGTGTAAACGCACACACATTGTGTGCATGTTGAGTTGTGTGTCTGCCTTATGGATGTCTGTTGTATGTGTTGTGCAAGTGTGTGTTTATATGTTGTGTTGTTTGTGTTCTGTTTATGTGTGTGGTGTGTGCATTATATATGTGTTGTGTGTATTGTATTGTGTGTGCGTTATATATGTTGTGATATGTGGTGTGTCGTGGTGTGTGTATGTATTGTATTATATGTATAAATTATATGCGTGTAGCGTTGTGTGTCTTCTGTGTTGTGTATATGTGTTCTGTTATACCTTGTGTGTATTAGGGCGTGTATTGTGTTGTAGATGTGTGTGCTGTGTGTTGTGTATATGCTGTGTTGCATTTTGTGTTGTATTGCATGTGTTGTGTGCTGTGTTGTGTGTGCATGTTATGCATGTGCATTGTGTTGTGTGATTGTGATTGTGTGGTGTGTACAATGTGTTGTTACGTGTGCATTATGAACGTGTATGTAGTGTGCTGTGTCTGTGTATGCTGTGTAGTATGTGTTATATGTGTGTTGTGCATATATGTTGTGTTTGTGTGTTGTGTTATGTGTATGGGTTACATGTGTGTTGTGCATATATTGAGTTGTGTGTATGTGTTATACTGTGTGTTGTGTATTTGTTGCATTGTCTATATGTGTTGTGTGTGTGCCATGTGTTGTATTGTGTGTGTTATGATATATAGGGGTTGTTGTGTTGTGTGTATTGTCTTGTGTGTATATGTTGTGTGTGTTGTGTATATGTGTTCTGTTGGGTGTTGTATCTGTTGTTATGTGTGGTATTGTGTGAGTACATTGTGTGTGTTGTATTGTGTTTTGTGTTGTGTATATGTGTTGTGTTTTTGTGTGAATGCTGTTATGCGTATGGGCTACATTTGTGTTGTGTTGTGTATATGTTGAGTTGTGTGTATGTGTTATATTGTGTGTTGTCATTGTGTTGTGTATATGCATTGTGTGTATGTGTTGTGTGTAGTATTGTGTGTGTTACAATGTGTGGGGGTTGTGTGTGTTGTGTGTATTGTATATAGGTGTTCTGTTGGGTGTTATGTCTCTTGTGTTATATTGTATTATGTGTGTGCATTTTGTGTGTGGTGTGGTGTGTATTGTTGTGTGTGTGTGTATGTGTGTGGACTTCAGCTGCTGGGGGCATCACCAGTGTCTCCCATGGGCTCCCTATCCGGCAGAGGCCCAGCCTGGCTCAGGCACAAAGGCTGAGTTTTGCCCCCTGAGAACTTAGTCTTCCTTCTGTACTCAGGTGTCAGGAAGAGAGAGCCGAGCTGCAGGCACAGCTGGAGCAGAAGCAACAGGAGGCTGAGAGGCGGGACGCCATGTACCAGGAGGAGCTTGGAGGGCAGCGGGACTTGGTCCAGGCCATGAAGAGGCGGGTGTTGGAACTGATCCAGTAAGGACGGGGACAGTGGGAAAGGGGAGACAGATGGGGGAACGGTAAGGAATGTGGAGCCCGGAGCATGAGAATTCTACTCCACTCACAGCTCCCAAGCAGGGTTCTAGAACTTTTATATATGCTAACTCTTCTGTTTCTTTTAGCCACTCCCTGCTGTTATCCCCATTTTACAGAAAAGGAAACTGAGGGTCAGAAATAAGACAGACTTGGCCGGGTGCAGTGGCTCACACCTGTAATCCCAGTACTTTGGAAGGCCGAGGTGGATGGATCATGAGGTCGGGTGTTCAAGACCAACCTAGCCAATGCAGTGCAATGCAGTGAAACCACATCTATACTAAAAATACAAAAATTAGCCGGGCATGGTGGCGCGTGCCTGTAGTCCCAGCTACTTGGGAGGTTGAGGCAAGAGAATCACTTGAACCCAGAAGGCAGAAGTTGCAGTGAGCCAAGATCACACCACTGCACTCCAGCCTGGGGAACAGAGCGAGACTCCATTTAAAAAAAAAAAAAAAAAAAAAGGCAGACTTGGTCACCTAGGACACATAGCATATTAATTGTATAGAGTCCCCTGACAATAATGCACACCACCACCTGGACCCACTCCCACATACACACACCTACTGAGGTTAGGGAGGAGAAAAGAACCATGGGTTGAGAAGGAATTGGGAGAAGGAGGAAAAAGACACCAGGGAGAACCCAGAGGTGATCACATGTCCTACACCTACCTGCCCACGGGACGTCGTCAGGCCCTGGGCCTGTGGACCTGCCCTGGGTCAGCTGTCCTAGGTTCCAGAGGCTGGGCTCACCAGGGTCAGCTCCAAACCACTAAGCACACTGAGAGACAGGGAAGATGCGGAAAGCATAATTTCTGCCCTTTAGTTGGGTAGAGAGTTCACATACATATGTTATTCTCTCATACAGTTCAGGAAACAGGACACCAGTGGACTCAGGTTCCATTAAAATTGGAAGGTTGCTAAGGGGTCTTTTTTTTTTTTTTTTTAACAGAGTCTAGCTCTGTCACCCAGGCTGGAGTGCAGTGGCGCCATCTCAGCTCACTGCAACCTCTACCTCCCGGATTCAAGTGATTCTCCTGCCTCAGCCTTCCAAGTAGCTGGGACTACAGGTGCGTGCCACCATGCTGGGCTAATTTTTGTATTTTTGGTAGAGAAAGGATTTCACCATGTTGGTCAGGCTGGTCTTGAACTCCTGACCTCAATCAATCCACCCAGCTCGGCCTCCCAAAGTGCTAGGATTTCAGGTGAGGGGTCATTTAGAACTAAATCCTCTTACACAATATCCAAATGGTATTAAGGGTGAGAAAAAGGAGACATCAACTTGGAAAGGACAAGCAATAATTTAAGGAATAGTTCCTCCAAAGGATTTACTGTCAATTTGGAGGAAGAGAGATATAAAAAGTGAAGTATTGACCTCATGAAATAATTTAAGATAGCCAACAATAAAAGACATATATACGTGATTGTTAAAGAAAACTAGAAAATTAAATGGAACATGGCCGGGTGCAGTGGCTCACAGGCCTGTAATCCCAGCACTTTAGGAGGGCAAGGTGGATGAATCACCTGAGTTCATGAGTTTGAGACCAGCCTGACCAACATGGTGAAACCCTGTCTCTACTAAAAATACAAAAATTAACTGGGCGTGTTAGCGGGCACCTATAATCCCTGCTACTCAGGAGGCTGAGGCAGGAGAATCACTTGAACCCGGGAGGTGGAGGTTGCAGTGAGCCGAGATCATGCCACTGCACTCCAGCCTGAGCGACAAGAGTGAAACTCCATCTCAAAAAAAAAAAGAAAGAAAGAAAATTAAATGGAACATGTAATAGAAAACAAAAAGTATATATCCCCCAAAGTGTTGGGATTAGGGTTAGCATTAGAACTCAGCACTGAGCATATTGGTAGCAGAATCAAAAAGGGAAAGACAGAGTGACTAAATCTCACTTCCCATCCAAAGAAAATATACTAGTTCATCAGCACTAGTTTCCCAGTGCAAAGGTGATTAATCACAGGTTCTCAGGCAGGAAACATTAAACTATGTAATACAATGTCCCTGGCAGAAGCTTATGGAAAATACAACCCTATGCAAAAAACGAAAAGAAAAAGGAAAAAAAATAGCCACCAAGGTTGACTTCTGCGTCAGGATGGTGGACTGCCCACATCTTATCTATTCTCCATCCTGAAATTTCTCTAAAATGACTATAAAAGACTAAAACCTAAAACGGAGAGAAAAGTGGAGGAGCTAACCACAGAGGAGAGATTTCAACTAATTTCCAGAAGCTGGAAAATGGATGGAGAAGTGGATACTGTGTGAAGCCCAAGTTTTTTGTAGGATCCAGAGATCCCAGAGCCACAGATGGCAGAAGTCAGATGAGAGATAAAGTCATTAGAAAGAACAGTCCATACCTGCTGCCTTCTGCCTGCCTCCCCACATGCAGAATATCCAGCACTCAGGGGCCTATCTCCCAAGCAAATGACCAAAAGATCCTTCACTAAAGGAATTTAAGTGCCCCAAATAAAAGACCAGTTTGTCCTGGCATTTGGGTGTCTGGTTGTAGCAGGTAGCTCCCTGCCTAGTCCCCACTAAAGGGAAGCCACTAGTCAACCATTCCTGTCCACTATTCAGAGCTCTAAACAGCTTTTATTGCCTCTTTCTTACACATAAAATGACAACCAAGGATCCCCAGATATTTGAGGAGAGTCTAGAACATAAAGGGAAGAGATGAAGATAAGCAAAGGAAAAAGATCCATCTTCCATGAAACAGGATGCTATAAAAAGCATCTGTCAAAAGAGAAACATTCTTGGAAATTAAAAATTAAATTAAAATTATGATCACTGAATTTTCCTCAATTCACTAAAATGATTAGAAGAGAAAGATGAGGCAGCCTCTTAGAAAGTAGAGTAAAAAGCATAGAGAGATGGGAGTCAGGAGAGAAATAATTAAACATACAGATAATCAGTCTCTGAATTCCAATGTCCTTTCTAACTGTGAGGAGAGAAACAAATGAAACATAGCAAAAATTAAGATGTGAGAGAATTCCCCAGCTCTGACGGACACAGATCTTCAGATTTGAAGATTTCACTGAGCAAAGAATTGACAAACAAAACAAAGCCCACAGATACATCATTATGAAATTTCAGTAAAACAGATAAGGAGAATGTCCTAAGATTGTCTAGAAAAAAAGACAGATCACCTATAAAAGAAGTAGAAATCATGTAAACAGTCTATGGTGCAATTCTTTTTAAGTTCTGAGAAAAACTGACTTTTGCCCTAGAATCTTGTTTCCAGACAAACCATGAATGAAGTGGGGGAGGTGGTGGAGTAAAGACATTTTCACATAGACAGATTTCAGAAAATTTACCTCCCACATAGCCTTTCATAGGAAGTTAGTTGAGGATGTGCTCCAGAAAAACAAGGAAGTAAGCCAAGAAAGGAGAAGATGTGGAATTCAGGAAAAAAAAAATTGTTTTAGCCTAGGAGAGAAGAAAAGGGAATTCCCAAGATGACAAGTGGGCAGCAAGCCCAGGGAGCAGTCAGTCCAGACTGTAGCAGAAGGACCAAGGACGCAGGAGGAAGGTATCTGGGGAGAAAGGGAATCAAGAGAACACCTGAAATGATGAAGAATTGGGAGGAAAATAATATGTTAAAGGCAAGTAATGCAAGGAAAAAAGAAAGGCAATTAAAAACTCCCAGAAAACCAAAAGCCTTCCAAGAAGGAAAATGTTATAGAAGGTATCTTAGCTTGTTGGGAAGAAATATGTATATATATTATCTAATAATGTAAATATTATTCATTAATTTTTTCAATGTTAGAATCAAATTAAAAGCAAAGCACAGAAAGCAATTATGTAATTATAGAAACAGAACGTAAATACTACCACCTTAACAATATTATGTATAGAATAGAATCCAATAGAATGTTCTATAAAGGTTGTATATTTATGCTGTCCAGTATGGTAGCTGGTAGTCACATGTAGAGATGAAGCACTTGAAATATTGAGCTGGTGCAACTAAGGAACTAAAGTTTTTATTTTATGTATTAATATTTTAATTAAATTAAATGTAAATAGCCACATGTGGGGTAGTGGCTACCATTTTGGATGCTGTGAGAACAGATGGCAAGTTAGAAGGTGGAGGAAAGAGGTGAGTTGAAAGGAAGAGATGCTGGCATCATCATATTACAGAACAGGAGTCATAAGGATACTACCTATAGTTAGTAGATGAAGAAATAAATATGTGAGTATATTCTGTAAAAATTACAATGGTAGCCTGGGCACGGTGGCTCATGTCTGTCATCCCAGCACTTTGGAAGGCCAAGGCTGAGGTCAGGAGTTTGAGACCAGCCTGGCCAACATGCTGAAACCCCATCTCTACTAAAAATATAAAAACTAGCCAGGCATGGTGGCACATGCCTGTAATCCCAGCTACTTGGGAGGCTAAGGCAGGAGAATCACTTGAACCCAGGAGGCGGAGGTTGCAGTTAGCCAAAATCATGCCACAGCACTCTAGCCTGGGTGACAGAGAAAGACTCTGTCTCAAAAAAAAAAAGAAAAAAATTACAATAGTAGCCAATAGAGGAACTAAAAACAGGAATATAACTATGTGAGGATGGTGAGTTAGTGAGGATGGTAATAAATAAGCTAAATCCTCTGATATCAAAGGACGGAGCTCTGTAGAGAATGTTCTCTATTGGTAAACAAAGAAGGAGATAAAGGAGCATATTACTTAAATATGGAAGCAATTTCAAGGAGAGAAAGCAAAACGATGTCAGAAATGGTTTGCCACTGAGAACGAGAGAGGGAGGTGTTTTGATATGAGCACTTTTGTATGATTTTATTTTTAAATCACGTGTATGTATTATTTTGATACAAATTTAAAAGAACCCTTCTTCCTAAATATCCTTTCAAAAGGGAGTGAAGGCGGGGCATGGTGGTTCATGCCTGTAATCCCAACACTTTAGGAGGTTGAGGCAGGGTTCAAGACCAGTCTGGGCAACATGTCGAAACCCCAGCTCTACAAAAAATTAGCCAGGCACACGCCTATAGTCCCAGCTACTTGGAAGGCTAAAGTGTAAGGATCACCTGAGCCCGGGAGGTCAAGGCTGCAGTGAACCAAGATCACACCATTGCACTCCAGCCTGGGCAACAGAGTGAGACTCCATCTCAAAAAAAAAAAAAAAAAAAAAGGCAGTGAAATCAGTTTTGCAAGGGCATACACGTAAATAAATACCAAGGCAGTTTGTACTAAGTGCCAGATAAGAGACAGTAGGCAACATGTGCTGTAAGTGTCTGGAGCAAGAAACCCCAGAGGGCTCTGTGATCAGGGAGCACTCCTTTGTGCTTAAATAATGGATCCTTAAATCATGGGTCAAGGTTATTTTGGGCGAAGAGGAGGCCAGGTGTCAGACGCATTCTGATCTCTTGTATGTGTCTCTCACTGTCTCTTCATTTCTCTCTGTCTTTCTCTGGCCCCTGTGTCTCTTTCTCTATCTCTCCATCTGTCTCCGTATCTGTCTCTTCCCCTCTGTCTCCATTTTCTCTGTCTCTGTGTCTATTTCTCTGTGTGTGTCTCTCTCCCTCTATATATCTCTCAACTTCTCTATGTCACTCTCTGTCTCTCTCCAATCCTCTGGCTTCCTCTCTCTCTCTCTCTCTTTCTCTCTCTCTCTCTTTCTCTCTCTCTCTCTCTCTCTCTCTGTCTCTCTCTCCCTCTTTCCCCTTCTCTCTGCCCCTCTCTCTCTGAGTAACCATCTTTCTCTGTCCATCTTTGTATCCCCCTCCATTGCTGTGTCTCTGTCTTTCTGCGTCTCTGCTCTTGTTTCTGTCCCTGTCTCTGAATCTCTTTTTATTTCTCTGTGTGTCCATGTGATTCCCTCCATCACCCTCTCTGTCTTTCTCTTCCTGTCTGTGTGATTCCCTCTGTTCCTCTCTGTCTCTCTGTCTGAGTCATTTCCCATTTCTGTCTTTTGATCTCTGTCTCTGTCTATGTCTCCCCACCTTCATCCCCCATCAGAGAGAAGGACCGCCTGTGGCAGAGGCTCCAACATCTTTCTTCCATGGCCCCTGGGTGCTGTGTGGCCTGTAGCAAGATCTTTGGCCGATTGTCCCGGCGGTATCCATGCAGGTAAAGGGAAGGGCACAGATTCCTCCCTCTGGGACAGCCCAGTTTCCACCAGCTGACAGCCCCCACCCACCCCAGGGAAGGGAGGGACACAGCAACTGGGTGTTTATAAAAGGCCACTTACAGCTGGCCACTCATTCTACCATATCTGACTTCCAACACTAAGCAGAGCCATGAAGGAGAAGAGCAGAAGGGTCAGATAAGGAGTGGGGTCCGGGGGGCAGGATTGGGTCCCCCTCCAAGAACTGACCAAGAAATGGGCCTCTCATCCGGAAGGGAGCGTCTGTACAGTGTAAGCTGCTCCCCCTCCTTCGTCTGTGAGCACAGTGCTAGGACCAGCCTTGGGAGAGAGGAAAGTGAGCCACCAGGAGAAGCTACCATGTGAAGGTGGAGGCTCTGGAGGGGTCGGGCATCAGGACACCCTTCAGGAGAGGGGAGACCTCTTGAGACAGACCAAGGGCATTCCACTGGGAGATGAGAAACAGATGTCTCAGGTGGACCTGAAGATGCTGGAACTCCATGACCTCAGCTCCCACTTGGGGAAGTGCCAGCTGCAGAGGCCACCCCAGGCTTCCCTGCCTCTGCCTTCCAGGCTCTGCGGAGGCCTGCTCTGCCACGCTTGCTCTGCAGATTACAAGAAGAGAGACCGCTGCTGCCCACCCTGTGCCTAAATAAATACCAAGGCAGTTTGTACTAAGTGCCAGATAAGAGACAGTAGGCAACATGTGCTGTAAGTGTCTGGAGCAAGAAACCCCAGAGGGCTCTGTGATCAGGGAGCACTCCTTTGTGCTTAAATAATGGATCCTTAAATCATGGGTCAAGGTTATTTTGGGCGAAGAGGAGGCCAGGTGTCAGACGCATTCTGATCTCTTGTATGTGTCTCTCACTGTCTCTTCATTTCTCTCTGTCTTTCTCTTTCTATCTTTCTCTCTTTCTCTCTCTCTTTCTCTCTCTCTCTCTTTCTCTCTCTCTCTCTCTCTCTCTCTCTCTCTCTCTGTCTCTCTCTCCCTCTTTCCCCTTCTCTCTGCCCCTCTCTCTCTGAGTAACCATCTTTCTCTGTCCATCTTTGTATCCCCCTCCATTGCTGTGTCTCTGTCTTTCTGCGTCTCTGCTCTTGTTTCTGTCCCTGTCTCTGAATCTCTTTTTATTTCTCTGTGTGTCCATGTGATTCCCTCCATCACCCTCTCTGTCTCTCTCTTCCTGTCTGTGTGATTCCCTCTGTTCCTCTCTGTCTCTCTGTCTGAGTCATTTCCCATTTCTGTCTTTTGATCTCTGTCTCTGTCTATGTCTCCCCACCTTCATCCCCCATCAGAGAGAAGGACCGCCTGTGGCAGAGGCTCCAACATCTTTCTTCCATGGCCCCTGGGTGCTGTGTGGCCTGTAGCAAGATCTTTGGCCGATTGTCCCGGCGGTATCCATGCAGGTAAAGGGAAGGGCACAGATTCCTCCCTCTGGGACAGCCCAGTTTCCACCAGCTGACAGCCCCCACCCACCCCAGGGAAGGGAGGGACACAGCAACTGGGTGTTTATAAAAGGCCACTTACAGCTGGCCACTCATTCTACCATATCTGACTTCCAACACTAAGCAGAGCCATGAAGGAGAAGAGCAGAAGGGTCAGATAAGGAGTGGGGTCCGGGGGGCAGGATTGGGTCCCCCTCCAAGAACTGACCAAGAAATGGGCCTCTCATCCGGAAGGGAGCGTCTGTACAGTGTAAGCTGCTCCCCCTCCTTCGTCTGTGAGCACAGTGCTAGGACCAGCCTTGGGAGAGAGGAAAGTGAGCCACCAGGAGAAGCTACCATGTGAAGGTGGAGGCTCTGGAGGGGTCGGGCATCAGGACACCCTTCAGGAGAGGGGAGACCTCTTGAGACAGACCAAGGGCATTCCACTGGGAGATGAGAAACAGATGTCTCAGGTGGACCTGAAGATGCTGGAACTCCATGACCTCAGCTCCCACTTGGGGAAGTGCCAGCTGCAGAGGCCACCCCAGGCTTCCCTGCCTCTGCCTTCCAGGCTCTGCGGAGGCCTGCTCTGCCACGCTTGCTCTGCAGATTACAAGAAGAGAGACCGCTGCTGCCCACCCTGTGCCCAGGGAGGAGAAGCCCAGGTCACCTGACCAAGACCAGCCCACAACTGGCCTCCCACCCGCTTGCCCATCCCACTCAATCCACTCCCTGCCTGTAGCTCTTCCCAGCCCTCTTGTTTGTCCAGTCCGAATTCTAGACATTGGAGATCTAAGGCACCAGCACTTCTGTGGGCAGAGTAGGGTGTGGGGGGTGGTTCCAGCCCTGCAGCTACCACAAGGAGCCAGGTGACTTTGGCGAAGCCCTCAGTGCTCAGGGCTTCTTCTCTAACGTTAGGAGTCGGGCCCCATCCTCTCTAAAGTCCCTCTGGGATCAGCAAATCCATGACTGTAGATAAGACGCCAGCAGCCCTGACATTTCTCCTCCACACTCCCCACTCACCCAGCACTGGTGCCCACCCTTCCTGATTCACTAGAAGTGAAACCTGCACTGTCTTGGGCTCTCCCGCAGCTTCTTGTCTGGAGTCAGCTTCAGGGATCTGTGTTTGTATTGCTGTGTTTCTTTTTATGTTTAACAGTTTTATTGAAGTACTACTGATGCATGATAAACATGACAGAGTGTACAATTTGATGAGTTTTGATTTTAATAAACGCCAGTGAACCATCTTCATAAACATATCTATCCACCCCAAAGTTTCCTTGTGCCCCTCTGTGGCCTCCCTCCCTTGCTTTCCCTCCATACCTAGGCAAACACTGATCTGCTTTCAGTCACCACAGGCTAATGTACATTTTCTAGAATTTTATGTAAGTGAAATCATACAGTATGCCCTCTTTATTGCCTGCCTTCTTCTGCTCAGCTTCATGATGTTGAGATTCCTGCTTGTTGCTACATATATCAGGAACATATTTTATTTTCGAGTGGTGTCCGCCATATGGATATGCCACAATTTGTCTCTGCATTCACTTGTGGATGGACATCTGAGTTGTTTCCAACTTGAGGCTATTACAAATAAGATTCACATGAGTCTCTGCTGACATACACTGTTTGTCTTATGTTTCTCTTGTGTAGACATACACTTGTTTCTTTTACGTAAATACCTAGTTATGTCATTCCTTGGTATTTACTTATGTTTCTCTTGTGTAGACATACACTTGTTTCTTTTACGTAAATACCTAGGAATGACATGAATGGGTCATTATGTTTAACTTTTTTTTTTTTTTTTTTTTTGAGACAGAGTCTCACTCTGTAGCCCAGGCTGGAGTGCAGTGGTATGATCTTGACTCACTGCAAGCTCCGCCTCCCGGGTTCACGCCATTCTCTTGCCTCAGCCTCCCGAGTAGCTGGGACTACAGGTGCCCGCCACCATGCCCGGCTAATTGTTTGTGTTTTTAGTAGAGACGGGGTTTCACCGTGTTAGCCAGGATGGTCTCGATCTCCTGACCTCGTGATCTGCCTGCCTTGGCCTCCCAAAGTGCTGGGATTACAGGTGTGAGCCACCGCACCCGGCCATGTTTAACTTTTAAGGAACCGGAAACTATTGCCCAAAGAGGTTGTACATTGGCCCTTCCCACCAGCACTACGTGAGAGTTTCTGTTGCCCCCACCCCACTCCCGCCAGGACACCTGGGTTTGGAAGGCAGGAAAGAGGCACAGACACAGAACTTGGGCCTCTTTGTCCTTCCCCACCAACCACTATAGTTCTTGATTGATCTCAAGTTGAGAGCACCTGGAGGGAAGGGCTGAATCTAGGTGACTCTCTGTGCAGCGTTCATTTGGCCAGACTTTTGATAAGGACCATTGATGTGGACTATGTAGTAGTGTGGCATAAGATCACATCCCCTATATTGTCCCAGAAGGCTTATGAAAGGTGTAGGTCATTCACTCGGCACCTGATTGTGGTGCTTCTGAGAATAACTGTTTCAGAAGTGGTGCAGACTACACTCTAGGATAAGGTGATTAGCTGCCGTACACAGTTCAAAGACACATTTTGTGGCCCCCAGCAGGCATTCACACTGTCCTTATCTGCTCTGCCTTACAGGCACTGCTAGAGCCTCCACAGCTGTTGGGCAATCCTGTGGCTCTGACCAGAGCTCTGGACAGCCTCTCGGGGTTAGGCCGCCCAGATTGCATCCCGTTACCTTCACATGGAGCAAGAGTTTTGCAACAGTAGTTTCTGCCCTAGAGAGCTGGTGAGAACTTCTGCTTAGCAAACACAATAACAGGGCGAAGGGAGACACTGGGGGGCTCCTGGAGCAAGCAGAGCAATAGAATTGCCACTACCCTAAAGGGCAGCAGTCCCTTTCTGGAAATGAGGCTTACTCACATGTCTTTACTAGGGCAGGGTTCTTACTGTAGCAGAAGAAGTCATATTCTAGCAGGAACTCCAGCACAAAATTCAGACCCTCCTGATGAATTGATTGGATGTTCACGGGGTGGGGAGGGGGACTGGCTGAAGCCCATTTCATAGAGCAAGGAGGCTGCTCCTGGAAGAGAACTCATCAGACGGGAATCAGGGGCCAGGACTCGGGGAGCTGGACCTTCTCCCACTGTTTGGGGTAAAGAAGAGCAATGCTGAAGACCAACATGTAGCTCAACACTGGCCCTGAAGAGTCTGCACCAAGTCCAATGGAGAGCAAAAGAGCTCCAAAAAGAAATCAGAAAAGTCTGTTAGACTTTGGGGACTCTCAAGCAGAGAGATCCACAAAAATCAGCATAGACCTCCCAGAGCCTGGCACTGCAAGTGCACCCATCCTTCTTCAGTGGTGACTCTAGGGTGAATGTCCAGCAACTGCAAAGCCCAGAGAAGCTTGTGGGAGACACCCCAATAGACTCCCCCAAGTCCCTGAGGAGCGCATTACAAGGCTGAAGTCCAGTATGAACACATGGGCTCTGAGCCAGCACGATCCAGATTGTTGCTATTGATGTGACTTCATCTGTATTCATAGGCTGGGGATACCCTGGGTAATTGGGGCAACATAGTTATTTCTTTAAATTAGATGTCACTGGGATGCTCCAACATACATCAGTTTCCCCTACCTGTCAATTCATTCAGTGCCCAAAAAAAAAAAAATGTGTTAAGCTTCTATGATATGCCAAACAATGATTGGTTTGGAGATACAAAGATAAAAATATATATGAAAGCACTGCTTTCAAGAACTTCGCCATGGGGGAAGGAGCAGCCAAATGGATGATGAATTATAAACCCTTGGCTACATTTGCAAGGCAAAAGGAGAGTTGGCCAAACCAAAAGAACGGGAAAGAGCATCCCAGGGAAAAGGGAAACACATGCCAAGACCCCAGAGGAAACCAGAACAGCTCCTTGGGGGTTGAGGGGACTCTAAGTGGTTCCCTGTGGCTGGAGTTAAGTGTTCTGTATTGGGGGGTGGGGAGAGCCTGAAGTGACAGGGTTGGAGAAGTAACAGGAGTTAAATGGAGGGTGCCAGGTGACGGACTCAGGTGTCTGACTTTACCTGAGTGTAACCAGGGTCCTTGATGAATTTTAAGAGGAAAAGAAAGTGATCAAATTCACATATTAGGAAGCTCATTCTGGCAGTGGATTGGAGGGCGGGTTAAAGGGGGAACTATTTGAGGTAGAAAACATTTAGGAGAGGAGGAGGGGGAGAGGAGGAAGAGGAGGATGAGGAGCAGCTAATAGAGCCAAGCATCATTCTAAGTGTTTATCAGTATAGACTCATTTAATCCACATAACAACCCCTTGTAGGAGCTGCTCTCATTATACCCACTTCACAGATAATGAAACTGAGACCCAGTGAGATTAAATCACTTGACCAAAGGTCCAGGACTAGGTAGGTGGATTCTAACTCACACAGCCCAGTCTAGAACTCACAACTATTGCATGACCATTGCCTTACGTGAGGTGAGAGAGAATAAAGTGTTGCCTAACACTCTCAGTGAAGGTGGTGAGGAGGAGATAGTCAGGAGTGATGTTAAGGAGAGGAAGAGTGAGGAGCAGGTACATTTCTGGTTTGGCAGATGATTGAACGAGGAACCATTCAGAAGAAAGACATGTCAAGAAATACAATGAGATTAGTTTTCTACATGTTGAATTTGCAACATCTGTGGGCCCTCAGGGAGATTTCAGGAGGTAATTGCATGTCAGAGTTTGGAGCTTAGGGGAGACACTGGTTAGGAGCAGTAGCTATGGGAGACCCTGGCACATGTTGGATGACAGTTGAAGCCATGAAAACCAGTGGACTCCCCAAGAGGGAGCAGGTAGAGTGAGAAGAGAAGAAAACCGAGGTAGAATCCTCAGGAACTTCAATATCTGAGGAATAAATTAAGAAATAGAGCAACAAACAAGACCAAGAGAGATCAAAGGGAATAGAGGAGAATAGGTCAGTGGGATTCAATGATATAGAGATCAAGTAAGACCTGAACAGTAACTTTCCACCATAAATAAAGTTGAAAATCATACAGCAGGCAGGAAGAAAATATCTTAACATAACTAACAAATATTCAAAACACAATATGCCCAAATTATATAAAGAGCTCCTACAAATCAATAACAAATTAACAATCTGAGGCTCAGCATGGTGGTTCATGCCTGTAATCCCCAGCACTTTGGGAGGCCGAGGTGGGTGGCCAGGGGTTGGAGACCAGCCTGGTCAACATGGTGTGAAACCCCATCTCTACTAAAATTACAAAAATTACCCAGGAGTGGTGGTAAACACCTGTAGTCCCAGCTACTCGGGAGGCTGACGCATGAGAATTGCTTGAACTTGGAAGGCAGAGGTTGCAGTGAGCCAAGATTGCACTCCAACCTGAGCAACAGAGTGAGACTCTATTTCCAGGAAAAAAAAAAGGTATATTTCTTGCCATGCACAATGGCTCATGCCTGTAATCCTAACACTTTGAGAGGCAGAGGCGAGAGAATCACTTGAGGCCAAAAAAATAAAAAATAAATAACAAAATAATGATCCAAGCAAAAAGTAAAGAGATAAGAATAATTAATTCAGCTGGACCCAGTGGCTCCCACCTGTAATCCCAGATATACAGGAGGCTAAGATGGCAGGATCACTTGAGGTGAGATACATACATATATATACATATATACGTGTATACACATATATATACACATATATGATATAGTATATATATCTTTTTATTAAGAAAAGAAGGAAGGAAAACATGTTTGTATTTACATAGAGAGAAT